ATTGATTGATTGATTGGTTCCCAAAGTTGGGCTTGGGACCCAATTATGGGTCATGAAGCACCTTGGATAATCTCCAGAAATCAATTTAAAGGGTAATAAAATAATTGATGATGTAATATTTTCCTTAAAATCATTATAAAACCACTAAATAAATATAAATAAGTATTTATATTTGTGCACAAGCTGTTTAGATTGTCAAAAATCCTGTGTTTTTAGGGTTATTAACAAAGTTCATGTACTCAGACCAGTAATATTTGGGGTCACAAGTTATTGCCATGGATATTTTGTGGGTCAGAAGATAAAAAGTTTGGGAACCACTGCTCTATACAACACTGATCCGAAGAAAGGAGAGGTATGGAAGCCCATTTCCGCCACCCTGATAAAAAAATTAATAAAACTTGTATCTCAAGAGATACAAGTTTTATTTTTTTATCAGGGTGGCGGAAATGGGCTTTCTTAGAGAGGTAATGAAAAGCAAGCGTCGTGAGCTTTTATTTTGAAAAGTAAGAGCGCGAGGGGCGTGGCTTATATTCACCAGGCTAGCGCTACCACGACACGGGAGTCTCCAGGCTGCAGCAGCACCCGTCTGGCTGACTGTTTTGAGCAGGGCCGTGGGATGTTAAAAACATGAAGAGGACCATGGAGACAACAGAGCACTGACCAACAGCAGTAAGTTCAATCTCGTTCTGACGCGGTGTTCAGGCGGAAGTCGCGCTGCTCTGCTTTTAGCGTCTGTGGTGTTGTGTGGCATTCGGGTGCCAGTCTTTATTTCCGACCCGGGCACAGCCGCGGCTAGTTAGCTTCCGGCTAATGGCAAACTACGCAAAGAGTCCGCAGGAAGTCGAAGTCAAACCTTCAGGTTGTACAGGAAACGAGTCGTGTTTTTATAAAGCGTCTGTTTTTGTTTGTGTCCATCTGTGTTCTGGTTCTGAGGCTGGCTCTGAGCAGAACCGGGTCTCGTTCTGGGTCAATAAAACCTGTATTTTCAGTCCCGAGCACGGAGCCGGAACATCCCCCTGTGTGTGAAGGTTAGCGGTTTCCCTGGAAGTCTGATGACGCGTTTATTTAATAACTTTATAACTTTAATTTTATTCACATTCAGTCAGTTAMTGAGGAAGTGTCCTCCACCTGTTGTCTTACCTGTTTATAACCTCTGACCTGGTTCTCCACTCTCTTTATCTTAGTCATTGTTTATTCATTTCATTTAAAAATAAAACAAATGCTATACATACAAGAAATAATACAGCAGAAAGAAGAAATGAATTCTTATTGATATCTGCCCCTTTTTCAAAAATAAGTAAATTGAAAAAATAGTCTTCAAATAACAAAACAACAAAAACTTTTAACTCCTTCTTGAACAACAGTTCTTGTGAAGCACATTATATAAATTCATATTTCTTCAACAATCTGACTTTTATCAGTGTTTTAAACAAATTTATTGAGCTGCTTTTTTATAATCACTTTCCAGATTATTCCACAGTCTTATTCCTTGAACTGAAGTACATCTGTCCTTTAAATTTGTTCAAATTTTAGGTTTTATAAACATCTCTATACACTTATGGTTATAATTACTCTCTTAACAAAATTTAAATGAATATTTAGAGGTAATAAATTTTTATGAGCTTTATATATATATATATATA